GCTTCATAGGTCTCAAATTATCTCGAGTAGATCCTGGAGAAATTTATTATGCCAAAAATTTCTTGGCTATTCTATATATGTGCGTGCTGCAATTGTAACTAGTTCATTACCCAAATTAGTTTCAATAAAATTGATCGACTAATAGTAATTTCAAAATTAAGTGGGAAAAAATTAAAATTTAATTACTGTTTAAAGAATACTCAAATAAGACTAATACTCAATTTTTTTTTATTTAAAATTTAAAATTTTCTTTTTTGAGATAAAAAATTATTAATTAAATATATATTTTTTTAATATTTGGGGCAGCTAATTGATTTTTAAGATATAGTTTGGGAGGTAAAATGAAATTGCAAATGAAGTTTGATGCCACGTCAGTAAGTTCCATTTGATTGTAGACAGAATATGATGGCAAAGGCCAAATTGATCAAAAATTCAAAAGTTTGGGAGACAAATTGATATTATACGCAGTTTGGGATTAAATTGAAGAACTTGTAAAAATTTGAGAGGTAAAATGATATTTCCTCTATAGTTTGACATATTTATCACTTTAATTAATAGTAATTTTACATATTTATCTCCTTAAATAGTAAGCAACTTTCATGACCAAAAGTAGTGTTCAAATATAGATGGTATAGTTTTTACCAAAAATATAAATAAGATCTAGAATTTTGCTATCTCTGAATTCAAAATGAAGCAAAAAGAGTCTAACTTTTGGCTTCTAAACATAACTTGCCAGTCTGTTAAAACCAAAAAAAGATTTTCATGTCCAAAAACAAGTATTAAGCCCCTCAATTTAACTCTTTACTTAGCAAACCATCATTGTTTCATTCATTGCTCTCGCTTTTTCTGTATCTGTCTCTTTTATTCAATTTCAACTATCCAAATGGGATGTGGGAGTTCTTGGTTGAATGCCCAAAGTGAAGATATACCTGACAATTATCGCCCCATCATCCGTCGTAGGATGGAGGAAATTATAAGGTGCAGGCGTTCTGGTTCAATAAAAGCCTCGAGTCCTTCTACGAAAGAGTTACTTGTTGATAGTAAGGCAAACGACGAGATTGTTTCTCAACAACTGTCTTTGGACACTAATGCTAGGAAAAGCTTGTCTTTTTCGCCTGAGGATAGCATAACAAGTGAGGATTTAAAGGCAGCGAAGAAAGTTGCAGCCAAGTCGGATATGAAAGAGGCACGAAAAAAGGATTATACTGATTTTGAGGATGATGATGATGATGATGATGAAGATTTGTTTAGTAACGATGATGGCATGACTTTTCCACGCTCACCAAGTTTCAGAGTATACTTCACCAATAATTTGGATGATAATGATGAACATAGTAAGTACTTATTTATTTGTTTTTGATGACCGGGTGTTCGGACTAGTTTATATGCACTTCGACTAAAATTTCTCTCGGGCAGAGTCCGCGGGTGTGGGCCTAATAAGTTGATAGCACCTAGTGGGAGTTGAATTGAGACCTGGAGGAAGCACACTACCAGGTCCCAAGTTGCACCCACTAGGCCGACCCCTGGGAGTTTAGTAAGTATTTAATTTATGAACTATGTTAAGATATAATTCAGCTAGCAAACCATGTTTCGGATAAAACATTTTGGTTTTTTATCTGCACTGAATATCAACAATGCAATGCAGGTATGAAAGATGGCACAAATGATAAGACTCAAAGTAGCGATCATACATTGACAAAAAGGGTATATAGCTAACCAACACTTTATTCATCTTGAATTTAAGTTTGATCTTAGAATTTTTTTGTAATCAAAATAAGATTGCAGACTCATCCACCAAATGAATGGATTACCATGCATGTTAGAAAGATCAAAGTACCAAATTAATACTTCTTTTAAGCAACAAACTAACAATTTTGTTTATTTTTTTAGAACTTGCAGGAGTCTGTACCCAAGAAAGTAAGGAAGAGAATGAGTTTTAAGAATGTCATACCGAGGGGACGACAAACTGCCGTAAAGAATCTATTCCACATGCGTTCGTTCTACACAGCCTCCGCTCTATCACCCACTCAGAGAACTCGTCATCCAACTGATCGGGCCCATCTTATTACTGCAAAAACAGTAGCCTGATTGTGGTTTTGGGAAAACGACAATGGCTTACTGTTCTGTTCGTGGGTTTTCCATATCTTCATCTTTTTTTTATCAGCTCCATCTTCATCTTTTGACCAACATTGTGCGTCTATATATCAGTCAGGGAAGAAGATATGACCCATCACTTTCATTCCCCAATGTCAACAGTTGTAAATTGCTTAAAAGAATATGCATCTTCAATCATTTTTTGGGATGAAAATACACAAATCTTCAACCATTGTTTCCTGCATCTTCTCATACGTGCACAAAATTTATCTGCTTATGAGTTCATGGAGAAACATTGAACTAACAGAATCGATACTACCTTCAAATTTGTTTAACATTGTAAAAATCTAACAACAAGAACAAGCTTTGAGTTTCTGCTCATCTTCTTGGCAATAGAAAATTTAATAAATCTTTAAAATGATATTCAATGTTTCGAATTGGGATTTTTCCCTGTTAAACTTTTTAAAACTTTTGTTTGTTTTTGTGTATAAATTCAGTTATTTAAATTTTGGTTTGTTTGTTTACTTAATTTGTGTGTGCGTGTGTGTTTTTTAAATCAGTGTTCTTATTTTTGTGTTTATGTATTTATAATTTATTCTTTTAAAAAAATGATTGATTTGGTTGATTAATTTTTGTGTGTGTGTGTTAAAAAAAATGATATCTTCAATAAAATTGATTTGTTTGTTTGCTTAATTTCATGTGTTTCTTTTTCTTATCTTTTTTTTAAAAAAAAAATTTCGAAGCAAAAAATGTTTTATTTTTGTATTTGTGCAGGCTTCATTGAACAATTTGCACTATCACAATTGTCCGCAATTTTTTAGACTTACTTAGATTTAAACACTTTGGGGTTTTTTCCCATTTCACTTTTTTAAGCTTTTGTTTGTTTTTTTGTTTATAAATTCAGTTTTTAAAAAATTTGATTTGTTTGTTTACTTAATTTTGTGTGTATGTTATTTAAAATAAAATTTAGTGCTTTTAAAAAAAATCATATAAAATGAGTGTCTTGGATTATTTTTTTTTTTTTTTTTTGTATTTTTTTTGAGTAACATTGTTAATCATACTTTCTATAAAAAATTTATAGAAAATGAAATGTTTCATTGTGTTATCAGGTTTAAAAAAATTTCGTTGCGTTATCAACATTTGTGTTTTTGTGTTTACAATTTATGTTTTCAAAAAATTAGTTTGTTTGATTGCTTAATTTTGTATATGTGTTTTTCTTAAAAACAATTCAATGTTCATAAAAAATAATAAAAAATAAAAAATAAAAAAAAATTATTTAAAAAAATAATATTCTTAATTTTTTTTGGGTTTTTTATTATTTATATTAATAGATTATTATTTATCTTTTGTATATCAAATCTTTTTTACTGCAAGTGTTCCAAGAATATGGGTTTGTGTTTTGATATTTTGTGTATACCATTATTACTTACACTTTTTATTTTCTTCATTAAAAAGTAAAAAGAAAAAAAAATTATGTTATTAGACTACATAATTTGTGTGTGCAATTGTTTAGACTACATAATAGTCTTAATTTTTTTTAGGGTTTTTTATTATTTATATTAATAATTTATTATTTATTTTTTATATGTATATTATTTAAAAAGATAATATACAATTCATATTATAATTCTAAAAGAAATTGCACAAGTATCGCGTGCCCGACCGCTAGTTTTATTAATAAACTACCAACAAAGCGCTCCATTGCATGTTTTCACTATTTGCACACCATAATCACTTTCTTCAGTAAAATAGCCCCATAAAGAAGGTTATCGAAACCCTTCAACACATTAATAGTTCATAGCATGACTAATCCAAAACTATTGTTTATTTATGTTTTCACTTAACAACACACACTATCACATACTTTAAAGTAGGGCTGAGTAAGGAATCCATAAAATTCGTAATCCGATCCGGTCCAGTCTAATCCGATAGGTTTGGATTGGTTTTTGGAATCCGTAGTTCGGTCCCGGATTGAAAATTTCAAAATCCGTAGGCTACAGATCGGTTCCGGATTAAACTCCACGGTTCCGGATTGGAACCGATCTAGACCATCTAGAAATAATCTATATTTTTATACTATATACCTTCCCACACCATATAATTTCTTATCTGATATAAAAACTAAAATGTAACCTAACCTAATCCAGTAGCCTCACTCATCCACGCCTCTCACTCTCATCTCAAGTCTCTATATCGATGGTGTCTCTCTCTCTTCTCTTTCCCATCTCAGACTGAGTTCTCTCTCACACTCTCATCCATCTCAGATCAGATCGGTGTGTTACTGCTCGTCTCTCTCTGTCGGTGAGCTCTCTCTCTCTCTCTCTCACTCTCTAAAACAAACAAAGTATTAGTAATACCAAGGTATTAGTAGTACCCTCCCTATCTCTCAAAACAAACAAGGTATTAGTAATACCAAGGTATTAGTTAGTCCCAAGGTATTAATAGTCCCAAGGCTATCTCTCAAAACAAACACCCCATATACTAATTCCAAGGTACTAGTAATCCTAATCCCCTTGCTATAACCCAAAACAAACGGGGCCTTAGTTCATAGCATGACTAATCCAAAACTATTGTTTATTTATGTTTTCACTTAACAACACACGCTATCACATACTTTAAAGTAGGGCTGAAGAAGGAATCCGTAAAATTCGTAATCTAATCTGGTCCAATCTAATTCGATAAGTTTGGATTGATTTTTTGAATCCGTAATTCGGTTCCGAATTGAAAATTTCAAAATCCGTAGGCCACGGATAGGTTCCGGATTGAACCCCACGGCTCCGGATTGGAACCGATTCGAACCATCTAAAAATAATCTATATTTTTATACTATATACCTTCCCACACCATATAATTTCTTATCTGATATAAAAACTAAAATGTAACCTAACCTAATCTAGTAGCCTCACTCATTCACGCCTCTCACTCTCATCTCAGGTCTCTATATCGATGGTGTCTCTCTCTCTTCTCTTTCCCATCTCAGACTGAGTTCTCTCTCACATTCTCATCCATCTCAGATCAGATCGGTGTGCTGCTGCTCATCTCTCTCTGTCGGTGAGCTCTCTCTCTCTCTCGGATCGATGACTATTTTTGTTCATTTGTTCCCAAATCATCCATCTCAGATTAGATCGATAGCTATAGCTGTTGCCTCTTTCTTTCGGTGAGCTCCTCTCTCTCTCTCTCTCTAAATATCTGAAATGGGTTTAATCTCTAACACTCTGAAATGGGTTCCCAGATCATCCATCGCAGATTAGATCGATTGTTCATGTCATCTACAATGGATTCGGTAAATGTAAGTAGGAGATTTTTTTTTCTGTTTTTATTTTTATTTTTATTTTTATTTTTATTTTTATTTTTATTTTTATTATGTTTTCTATTTTCATTTTATTTTTATACTTTTTTTTCTTCTTGTTTTGTATTTCTATTTTCTGTTTTTATTTTTTTTTCTGATTTCATCTCTGTTTTGCGTTGTTTGTTTGATCAGTCTAATTGTATTTCATGTAGATATTTTCTCTGTTTTTCCATCTTTTATTAATGAGGGGAAAAATATTATAGAACAGGGGTAAGATTATAAAATAGGGGTAAGATCATTCCATAAATATTCCGACTCTGATTTAAGTAACCATTGATGCACAAATCAGTGTTTATGGAAATTAAACTAGGGGGGAAAGACTTTGCTAGATGGTAAGATCATTTCAGGCAGAATGTGAACACAAGTACTTTTTGATAGTTAGAAACATTGATTGGTTCTAGTTCAAAGCACAAAAGTGTCGAAGATGTCTAGGATTTAAAGCCTGATAAATCAAACACTTTAATTGAAAGAGTAGCAACTTGTATCTTTCTCAAACACTTTGCTAAAGTTTTTTCTCTTCTTATGTTGGTTGCTGCTAACACTTCTGAACTTCTTCATTAAGAAGTGCATTTAAAAAAAATAAAAATAAATAAATAATTTTTAAGCTTTAGGGGTATAAATTACTGGCACTGCCAAATGAGGCATTAAATTATTATTATTATTATTATTTTTGGGGTTTTTTAATTATTTAAATCCGTGGTCCTAAACCGATCCAATCCGTGTTTCAACGGATTGGCTCAGATTGGTTCCACAATTTAAACGGATTGGATTGGTTTTAATTTTTCAGAAACCGTAAATAACAGATTGATCTTGATTTTCTCCCAATCCGAACCAATCTGGTCAATGCTCACCCCTACTTTAAAGAACATTAGCCCTAGAAATAAGGATACTGAAGCATTTTAAAAACATTAACAATGCAAAACATACCTAATCATGTGGGAAGGCCGAGGAGAGGAACCTCTCAGCCTCAGAAAATAGCTGCAGATTTTTGGTCTTCATCAAGAACCCAATTGCTTCCTCATTAAATTTCACGAGGAAGCCCAACACTATCAACTCAGCCAGCTAATGAATCCAATCATCTTTCTTCCATAACAATCCTTTGAGCTATTGCTTTAGAGAAATTTGTAGCATATTTTAAGACACTTCTATGTCCGGCTGAACTGTCCATCTTCTGCGTAATAAACTTCTTACTCTCCATCTCCCAACGGATCATTTGTCTTGCTTCTTTTTTCAAGACTTCTCCTGAAGATAGTGATAAATTGTAACCAATTGTACTTGGTTCAAGTGTCTCAAGAACAATGAGATTAAGGAGACATTGAACAGTCTCATTCCTCTTTTCTACTTCCATTTTAGCTAGAAAGCCTAGGATGAGCCTAAGCAACCCTTTTCCGATAAAATTTTCCCTTGGATTCACTTGGTTAAGTCCAACACCATCCATTATGGACATTTCTTCTTTTTGCAGAGACTCAGAGATAGATCGAACACCAATCTTGCTGTAAATTTCAAGTACCTTACTCCAAGGCAGGGATGGCATGTTTGGCTGAGGATACCAAACAAATAATGGTCAGGAACAAGACTGTTCGAAGAGATCCTTCAAATGAAGATCATCAGCAATAAAAACATCATGCTTGAAAAACAACAAAATTTCATATGATTCCGAATGTACAGGCATTTTCGACAAATGTTCGGCAATAGTCAACTGTGTAGTCTTCGAACTCCAATGCTTTATAACACATTTTAGAAAGGCACAACACTTCTGATGTGACAATGACCTTCTAGAACTTTCTCATTCCTTCCAGAGCTTGTAATAGTGATCAAATGAAAGAGCACTCCTCACTTCCAAAACATGGCAAAAAAAACTCCAATAGGTCCTCTTTATAGTGTTTATTTAACACATTCAACTGCATGCTAAAGAGATCATCCTTGTAGCAAAGAACACATTCTTCGGGGGTTTACCCACTCTCCATCGTCACTTTCATTTGGGATCCAAACTTTCCTTGAAGTTGTATCTTCATTGTCAGGCTCCCACTTGAAACACAAGTACTTATAGATTCGAACAATAGTAGTGAAATTCGAATGGATATCTAGGTGGCTAGCAAGTAATGGGCACCCGTTTTAGTAAGTTGAGGATGCATTCGAGCAATGAGTTTGCATTTGCAGGAGTTATGCTATTGGGATCATCAGGTAAATAAAGGGTATCAGCCACAAATGTGTAACCAACCTCAAAAGAAATAACAACTCCATTTTTCTTCAGCTCCTCTTCATATTCATAGATAACCTTTCCATAGTAATTGTCACTACCATCAATGAAAGGAAGACGAGAGACCTCGGAGATAGATTCCCAATCAGGGCCAAACATAATGCAATCTTTTGGCAATCTATAATCACCAGTGCAAGTTCACAACCATTCAACCTCACGGATACACCTCTTCAGATATTTTGGGAATTTAAAAGTTGTTCCCTTTAGTTTTTGGTAACATGCCAGAAATGAGAGAAAATTTTCTTCACTAATGGAAGATAGTTCTGATTGCTTCTTAAAAATGATAGAAAAGGCCCTGGTTGCCTCCTCGATATCCACTACTACCCCCAATTGCTTCAATTCGTTCTTGTACAAAAAAATGTTGTTCGCATAGAAGTTTTCATCAATAAGTGAGAAGTTGTTTGAACCTTCACAAGACAACCCCATTCAGGATGGAACAGATAAGATCCAACTGGAGACATATAGCCACTGCTAGTCTTCAAAAACTTCTTATTTTTAAATGCTCTAAAGAATTTGTTAGATGATCTCAAATGATGCAAGTATCTAGTACAAAAAGACCAGACTCGACTGTCTGAGCACTAATGTCTACTAGAGATTTTAGATTGATAGCAACAAGCTCGTAATTTTGATTGAATCAAATTACCACACCCAACACCTGTAGTTCTTGTTTGAAAGAAAGGATTTCCTCATCGTAGTAATCTTGATCAAAAAATGGAATGTCATTGATTTGTGATGTAGTTTTCCACTCCTCATCAAACAAAACAGATCCAATTGGGGACCTGTCACCAATTGAAGTTTTTAGCCATCTTCCTTCTCTGATATTACATATAAAATCTTCGAAAGAAAGATGTCCCCCCAAAAAGTTGATGAATTTTAGTATCGAAAATACTGGCCTCCAGCCACTGCCGGTGGTGTGTGGGGATGCCTTACATGGCATTCCCTGCCTCTCAAAGGCAAGATGCAAGTGTTTGGTGTAAAACCAGACACTAAACGGTTGAGTTCGGAGATTCTGAGGCAGGGCACGCGAGCCGAGACCTCCGGGAACTCCAAACGAACACGATCATGGATGATCACCGGGTGTTCAAACGGTGACGTCCGAGTCTTGAGGACGGTCAAAAATGGGGTGTCTACACATAGAAGTTTTCATCAATAAGTGGGAAGTTGTTTGAACCTTCACAAGACAACCCCATTCAGGATGGAACAGATAAGATCCAACTGGAGACATATAGCCACTGCTAGTCTTCAAAAACTTCTTATTTTTAAATGCTCTAAAGAATTTGTTAGATGATCTCAAATGATGCAAGTATCCAGTACAAAAAGACCAGACTTGACTGTCTGAGCACTAATGTCTACTAGAGATTTCAGATTAATAGCAACAAGCTCATAATTTTGATTGAATCAAATTACCACACCCAACATCTGTAGTTCTTGTTTGAAAGAAAGGATTTCCTCACCGTAGTAATCTTGATCAAAAAATGGAATGTCATTGATTTGTGATGTAGCTTTCCACTCCTCATCAAACAAAACAGATCCAATTGGGGACCTGTCACCAATTGAAGTTTTTAGCCATCTTCCTTCTCTGATATTACATATGAAATCTTCGAAAGAAAGATGTCCCCCCAAAAAGTTGATGAATTTTAGTATCGAAAATACATGCCCTTTTGTTAGAGTTGAGGAATCTTCCAAAGACATGAGATGCTTCCCACTAAATTGATATGCCTCTCCATAATCAAACATCACTCACATTTCTCGTAGCTCTTCTTTATAGTCATGTATTTTATCACCATAGAAACTCTCATCAATTATAGGTATATCAACTAACACAGATTCATTCTGCAGATGTAGTAGAACCTATGATGAGTTTGGTAAGAACGATTGTGATAGAGGACTGTGACCAAGACTGCCACTCAGAGAACTCGTCATCCAACTTTCCTCCTTTATGCACATTAAGAACTTTCTTGGCATGTGAACCCCCTTCTGTATTCCAACAGCAAGAACTTGTTTTGCTCAGTTAGTGGAGCAGACAAGGTAGGAATTAATGCATTAGAAGGAGATATATTGGGGACATCAGAAGCTGTGAGATGACTTTTGAGGAAGTCGATAAGATGTCTCTCATGAGTAGTTACACTTGCAAATTTGCGTGAATGCAAATAGCCTTCTCCTAGTTCAATAAAACTTTCTTCTCTCCATGGATTTGATCTAATCATCAGATTGACCCAATTGCTTCCATTAGCAAGGACAAGAACCCCACTCCTTCATGTGGACACACACCCATAATTATCAACAAGTGGCATACTTCCACACAAATGATTAACTTCTCGCTCAGACAAATAGTTCTCTGAAAGTGAATGATATAAGAAATGAGCATAATCAACAGCAAGCTTCTGATCTCTAGTCAGTGAATTAGTGAGGAAATCTGCATATTCATGGACATTTATAGCCTCAACCTTGACCTCATTTAAAAGCCATTCCTATTTGAATATAGCTGAAGAGCTTCTTGTGTTGTTTTAGGCACGGAAAATTGGTCGGTTGCACATCTAAATTCACTGTTCCAATCAATCAACCATGAGATGTGATGATAATCATGAGATACGAGAATATTCCTCTCATTCCAGACTTCATTTATGCTATACAAAGACACAACCCCATGGAGGCTCACATACTTCAGAAGTGATATGTT